CCTTAGCGCGAAATTATATAATTACGAGTTACATTAAAAAAATAAATACGAGTAGATATTAATATAAATACTAGCTGTTAAATATATATAACTATCTGTAATGCGGTCATACGTGTAATAAGAACATATAACCATATTATTAAGATGACATGAATACTAAAATTATATAAATTATAGTTAGGCCTAATATGATAGTAAAACCACTAACCACGACACACATAACTAGTAATACGACATAACTATTACAAATCAATATCTATATACAATTACTAGTCAATACATAGTAACGCTGGGTTCACGGCCCAGGCGTCGCGCGTTTAGCGTTAGACTTTGCTTAGCGTTTTGGGATAAGTGTTAGCTATAGTGTTAGGCGTGTATTATTAGGGTTATGTAGTTAGCGGTGAAGGTTAGGTTATTGATTATGGGGTTAGGGTTTAGGGCTTAGGGCGTTAGAGCTTAGAGTCAAAGTTAGTTAGGGTTAGGTTTATGATTAGGGTTATAGGGTTAGGGTTAGGGTTAGGGGTAGAGTTAGAGTCAAAGTTAGTTAAGGCCACCATTTTTTATTTTGTTGGTTTACAGAATTTTTGTTGTTGTTGTTGACTCGGTAGGGTTAAATAAAGGTCGTTTTGTCAGATCAAACAAGTCAAAATACAGTGATACTGTTATACATGGTATTAAAGTATTTTAAGAAAACTAAATGAAAACAAAACTCAAATTGTAATTATTTTTACTTTTATTGTAAACTGTTTGTTTATGAAATGTTTTTGTTTTTTACATTTAAATTTTTTTTTATTCATATTTCTTAGAGAAAAGGTCGGCGGGAATAAAAAAAATACAGATTATAAGATCCAGAATAAAATTTTTTTTATTTTTTTCGTTTTTCTTAAAAATTCGGGTCGGTGGATCTGTAAACCAACAAAATAAAAAATTCTCGCCTAAGCTATGTCCCCACACACGCGGCACGACACGACACAGCAAAACGCAGCGCCGTTGTGCTGAAAAAAAATACATTGTAATTTCGCGCATTGTGTCTGAGCGCATTGTTTTCACTCTGGTTCAGTGATCAGAAATTATGCATGTGCTTGTTGTCCATTGGCAGATGATTGGCTGATGGTGGCGTGAGCAGAACAAGTGATTAAAAAACAATCGCGTTGATTGGTTCAACTGTCTTTCTCCGCACACCGCAGCCGGCAAAAGCATCCATCTCTCTCTCTCTCTCCTCTCCCCTCTCTCCTAATCTCGTCTTTTTTCTTTTCGTGGTAAACCCGTGACGCTGACCGATGACGCCGACCGACAAGTCGCGAGTGTGCGCATCACCCTCACAGACCGAGCGGGCTAGTGCGCCGACGCATAATGTAACTCAGACGAAGTCCGGTCAACGACACTTACGCGGTCGTCGTCCGAGTCGTCGCGGCGACGTCCGTCCATGGCCTGCGTGGTCGTGTTTGCAGCTTCGTTATTCATAACAGGTAACGACAAGGCGCTACGCACCTACCGGTTCTGGATCTCCGACATCCAAAGAACGCATCCGAAAAAAAACCCAGCTGCACGTCGCGTGCGCTTCCACGCGCGATTTTCTCGCCACTCGCGTCCACGACCCTAACTCTACTCTAACTCTATCCCTAACTCTATCCGCCATAACTCCTAACTCTAACTTAACTCTAACTCTACACTCAACCCTAACTCTAACCCTACGCCCTAACGCCTAAACCCTTAAGACGAACTACTAGAAGCAACAACCCTAACCTAACATACTAAAGACTACAAACTAAGACTGCTTTCACTCCTACACTCTAAAGGCCGGAGCGCACACCCAGGGCGATGGCATCGCGTGAAAATCGCCTGTGTGTCGCACGTCAATCGCCGCGCCCGATTTCATCGGCCCCCGACGCGCATCGGCCCGATGCCATCGCACAGATTGCAAAAAAACGTTTGATATTAATCGCCCGATCCATCGGCACGAATGCCATGCCCGATGCAAATCGCACTGGTGTGATCCCGCGGACCCGGCGATAACAGTCGCCCGACTTTCTACAAATTCATGCACGCCAACCCAAGTCCATTCAGCGCAAGCGCAACCTCGCGCAAGCGAAAGAATGGCGGATGCCATCCGCCCGAATGCAATCGCCTGGTGTGATCCACAGACTGCGCGATCCATCGGGCGACTGCCATCAGCCCGATCGCAATCGCCCGGTGTGTCCGGAGACCCTTAACAGCCCATCTCCGACACACGCGGCGCGCGGCACGGTGCCGGAACGCCAGCGGAAACGGCGCCGCTTCACCCCCTTAGCCGCGCAAAGTTTAAATCTATTATATCTTATGGCGCAGTCCCCTCCACTGGACGGCACGCTGCCAGCGCCGCGGTATCAACGCGCGACGGCGAAATGTCAACGATGAAGTTTGACTTCTTGGCGC